CCCTGGGCGGGCGTGGCTAGTGTCCGGAGGCACCGAGGAGGCGCGGAAGCATGGCGGCGCCCGAGGAGCGGAGGTCGGAGGACTGCGACGAGGAGGAAGAGGAGGCAGTAAGCGCTAAGCCGGAAAGCTTGCACGGCGGTCGCGGCGAGGGCTGCGCCGGCTGTGTGTGGGGAAGGGAATCCGGCTGTGGCAGGCGGGCTCAGCGGCTTCTGGCCCTGGGCGCGGAGCGGGCGAGCGTCGGCCTCGGCTCCAGCTGCCACACCGTAGTTAGAACAGGGACGTTACCTGAGGTAACGTCGCCTGTTTGCTCTTGTTGAAAACAGAACCCAGTTTTCACAAAGGTGGGGTCATTGCAATGGGAATTGGGGGCTTCTCTTGTTAATCGCCTCGTCTTGCTTACTCGCGTGCTAGCTTGTTAACCCCTCTTTCTTCCACCAGGAGCAGCTGGTTCTGGTGGAATTGTCAGGAATTATTGATTCAGACTTTCTCTCAAAATGTGAAAATAAATGCAAGATTTTGGTGAGTCTTTTGAATTGGGGTATTGTTGTAGATTTTTTAAATTTTAAAACAAGAATGGCTCAGTTGTTTAGAGCGCAGTCTTATAAACACCAAGGTCATGGGTCGGCCCCCCCTCTTTAATACTTACCGGCCAGCCATCAAAAAATAAAAATAAAAAAAAAGAATGGTGAAATACCTGTGCGTAAAAATTGATAATTTCCACCCCACCTTCCAAAGCAGTGAACTCCAAGGATCATCATAGAAGTACAGCGGGGACTGTGGGAGCAGATGGGGTAAAATGCCTAACTTTGCTTGAGTCTGAATGTGTGGTGGGAGAGTGAGTTAGAGATTTGGAGGAGGTAACATTTTGCTATGGAATAGTATGATATATTGAAAAAATACATAGTTTTAGAAAGCGAGGGAGGACAAAGAAACACAAAGCAAATGGAGTATAGTCAGAGATGCACACAAAGGTTAAACTGTGGAGGAGAAGCAGGGAGGGAAGATACCTACTAAGAAAAGACTTCAAAGACCTCACACTCTGAAGCTGACTTGAGCTACGGCATCATAAGTTACCATCAGTTTTATGATTTGACTTTAAAATCTTTCAGCTACTGTTGACAGAACTTCCTCAGTTCTTACCTTAAGCTTGAAGAGGATGTTGATTGAAATAGACCTTGCTGGGCCGGCTGGTGGCGCACTCGGTTGAGTGCGGCGCTCCCGGGGAGGGTTCGGATCCCATATAGAGACCAGTCCGCTCACTGGCTGAGTGTGGTGCGGGCGCGACACCGAGGGTTGCGATCCCGTTGCCGATGGAGGTACGGGCTCGACACTGAGGGTTGCGATCCCGTTACCGGTCACGAAAAAAGACAAAAAGGAAAAAAAAAAATAGACCTTGCTACTTGGGTAAGAATTAAGTAGACTTCAGGTTGTAGCTGCTGTGATCAGAACATTGTAACTTATCTTGTAGAGGTTCCCCAGTTCTGGAGATCAGTTTCCTTGGTAGCAATGTTACATGTTGAAGACTTTTTCTAATGATTTTTAATGATCCCTTATTCTGTTGTAGGGAATTGACACTGAGAGGCCCATTCTGCAAGTGGACAGTTATGTCTTTGCTGGGGAATATGAAGGTAGGAGGATGTCATATAGATGAAACTCCTTTTTTTATATGCCATTCAGAGAAGGTAGTTTTGTTAGTTCTCAACAAGTTGACTTGAAATTTTTCTGCAGATACTCTTGGTACCTGTGTTATATTTGAAGAAAATGTTGAACATGGTAAGTGATTACTATGCTAGCCCATTCTTTTTACTATAAACTTTCAAACATACTTTCGTACAGTAAATATTAAAATTAAACATGTACCTATTGTCTAGTTGTATCAAATCCTTCCATTTTACCAACCTTGACCCAAATTATGGCTAAAACAATTCTAGATACATTTGAAGTCCCAGTATACCCCTTTCCAAACTTATTCCCAAATTCCAAAAAAAAATTCTAGATACATTTGAAGTCCCAGTATACCCCTTTCCAAACTTATTCCCTTCCCTCTGTCTTCAGAGGTAATCAGTCTCCTGAATTAGTTGTTTATCTTTCCTATACCTAATTTTTTATTACATATATATATATGTTCACAAACAATAAATAGCATTGTTTTGTATATATCCAAACTTAGTATAAATTATAGCATACTATACATATCATTCTGTATCTTTTTCCACTCAGAGATATGTTTTCAGATTTATACACATTGATACATACAGCTCTAGTTTATTTTCCCTGCTGCTTAGTATTCCATTTTGTGACTATATATTCTCCAGTTCACATGGACGTGTTGATTGCTTCCATTTTAACCAATAATTATTAATAACTACTGTTTATTGAGTGCCTTTTGTATGTCAGACACTTTTCTAAATCTACATGTATTAACTCATTTAATCTTTACCACACCGTATGATACTGTTATCTTTATTTTATAGTTGAAGAAACTGAAGCACATAGAGGTAAGTAACATTCCCAAGGTAATACACGAAGTGAGTGGCAGAGCCAGGATTCGAGCCCAGGTGGTCTGGCTCCAGAGCCCACATTCTTAATTATGCTTATAACTTTACTACAAAAATGCTGCTATACATATTCTTTTATGTGTCTCCTATGCATATATATAAAAATGTCTCTAAGGTATATATTTAGAAATAGATTGATGAATGTGTGTATCCTCAACTTTACCTCTAATTTGAACCATATAAAATTACCGATTTGGCTAAGTATCAACAATTTCATATGGTTCAACTTAATAGACATCACCAGGTTGCTCTCTAAAGTATGGTATCAGTTTACACTCAAGGTAGCACGGTGTGGAAGTTTTCGGGGCTTGTCGTCCTTGGCTCAGAGACTCGTCCTCCTCCCTGCTGCCTAGGACCACAATTTTCTTTAAAAGCTGAAACTCCAGGCAGCAGGTTGGCAGCATTTTTTTCCTCAGACTTCTTTCATGATTGGAAATGTCCCCACTCCAGCCTCTGGCCTCAACTAGTAAGTGTGACTTTGGTCCTTCATTCTGAGTGGTAGAATTTTAGACCTCATTACCCTATAGGGCCAAACTCCTCATCCCAATTTCCCACTATAGGGCTGGAGCCTATTTGGCCTGTGGCTTTAATCTCACTCGTAGCTTTGTATTTCTGTTCCCTGGTGATATTTTTGAGTCCACTCATGCCTTCAGATGCTGTGCTTGGAACATGAGAGATGTTATACTGTGAACTTACTACACTATGTTTTTGGGGTTTTTGTTTCTTTCTTTTTTTTTTTTTTTTTTTTTTTGGTTTGTACCAGAATCCAAACCCTCAACTTTGGTGTGGTTATCAGCACCATGCACTCTCAAATGAGCTAACCAGGCAGCCTTTTTTTTTTCTTTCTTCTTTTTAATACTATCTTGATAGGAAGTTTAATCTAACTCCCTACTACAATTATTGAGACTTAACATCATTATTTTATTTGATGGCATCAAGCAGCATAATAATCAAGTTCATTTTATGTTCTAGTGGACACAGAAGGCAATAATAAAACAGTGCTAAAATATAAATGCCATACAATGAAGAAGCTCAGCAAACCCTCAACTTTGGTGTGGTTATCAGCACCATGCACTCTCAAATGAGCTAACCAGGCAGCCTTTTTTTTTTCTTTCTTCTTTTTAATACTATCTTGATAGGAAGTTTAATCTAACTCCCTACTACAATTATTGAGACTTAACATCATTATTTTATTTGATGGCATCAAGCAGCATAATAATCAAGTTCATTTTATGTTCTAGTGGACACAGAAGGCAATAATAAAACAGTGCTAAAATATAAATGCCATACAATGAAGAAGCTCAGCATGACAAGAACTCTTCTGACAGAAAAGAAGGAAGGAGAAGAAAACATAGGTTAGTTCACTTGATTCTCTGAGAATAAAGGGTCCACTATTGGCTTTGATAGTGACACATTGCTACCAGGACATTCCTTGTACTTTGTAGTAATAATTATATTTATTTAAATTGAGGGTGCCCCCTGAAAAGTACTGTAGGAAAGTTTTAAATTTTCTCTTTTCCCTCTGAAGAGTTGATGATTTTAGTCTGTGAAATGAACTGACAGTAGACAAATTAACAGGAGAACAACCAAACAAAATTTATTTTGCACATAGGCATGGGAGCCACATATAAAGTGTGAGACAAAAAGAAGGGCCCGATGACTGAAGTTTTTATACTGCACAGAAGGGTATTTCTGGGGGTTCCTGGAGGTAGGTGGCAACAGGTTATGAGAGAGTGAGGGAAGGAAATACATGGCCAGAAAAGGCTGTCTTGCTATGCAGATATAATCTCTCAGGTAGCAGCTCTCAGAAAGAATAGATGGTAGCATGTAGTAAAGGTTTCTCTGTCAGACCTTTAAAACTGTCAAACCTTTAGTTTCCTTTTCCTGTAAGATAATTTATCCTAGATCAGGTAATGCAGATAAAGGGGTCTCAGAGAAAGCCTGTTGGCATCCACTGTTTACTCATAATATAGATTTCCTCTACAGATGCAAATCTCCCCTCCAAAAAAGATAGCTTTTCAGAGCTGTTCCTGTGTCTGCAGGCCTTTTGAGTAGTTATCTCAAAATATGCCATAGGTGTATATTTTGGGGCGGCATATTTTGGTTTTCTTCAGTATCAAGCATAGATTTAAAATTCATTTGGACTCTTAATGTAGCCAAGGTTACTGGGGACCTATAAGAAACCAATATCTGCTTTGTGTTGGAAACAACTGTGAGGAGTGTGCCAAGAAACTTGATATGATTTCCAAGCCCTAAGGAATTCAACTGTGTGTGTGTGTGTGTGTCTTAATAAATTCTTCCTTATAAGTAGAGCGGATAACAGTTTTTAATTCCCAAGGTGTAATCCCAGGGGATCCCTTGGAAACTTCTGGCAGCTGCTTAATAAATTCTTCCTTATAAGTAGAGCGAATAACAGTTTTTAATTCCCAAGGTGTAATCCCAGGGGATCCCTTGGAAACTTCTGGCAGCTGCAGCAACCTTCCCCAAGAAGCTCACAGATGGAAGAAGCTGGCTTTATATGTGGGGGAGACTCTAGGACTGCAGTTGTTAGTCTAGTTCTTAATTAGCATCCATTTAGTCTTCTCCAATTGCTGGTCATCACAGACTAGAGACTTTTAGACCAGTGCTGCTTGCACCCATAGCAGGCACATGTTTGTGAAGCTGAAAAAATAATGACTTGATGGTTTAAAAGTGCATTGTTCAACAACATATTTGAAGCTCTAGTAAATAAGACTCTAGTGATGAGTGTTGATGACTTAAAAGATTTATTATATTTTAAGCAAGGAATAAACATTTGAAGGTATATTGATCATATAGAAATTAATTACACCAACTATGCACAACTACATAACAAACCTTTTTTCTTATCATATATATCTCGAAACTGTGCCTTTTTAGGCACCCTGTAAAAATAATAGGAAGAAGGAGGTTCTAGAATGAACTAGATTCTAGAATGAACTTGAAAGGCAGATACATATTGTAAGCGTAGTTATCATTTAGATACTCCTATTAAAGTAAGTTATGGAATTTCCTCTCCTCCTAGTCTTTAATAATCTAATAGATCTTTGGGAAGATTTGGATGTCTAGTCAAATAAATTAGCAACCAACTATTCAAGTCTGTATTAGTTATCTATTGCTGCATAACAAGTTACCCCTAAGCTTAACAGCTTAAGACTACAAGAAAAATAACAGTATCTGACATAGTTTCTTTGAAGTGGGATTTTGGGAACAGTTTAGCTAGGTGGTTCTGGCTCAGTGTCTCATGATGCAGTCATCTGAAGGCTGGAAGATTTGGCTGTAAGATGGCTTATCACATGGCTCGTAAGTTTGTGCTAGCTGTTGGTAGGAGGCCTCAGTTCCTTGCTGTGTGACTACCCCACAGGACTGTTTGAATATTCTGACATGGCAGCTGACTTCTCTCAGATTAAGTAATCCATGAGAACAAGGCAGAAGCCACAATGTCTTTTATGAAATAGCCTTAGAAGTCACACTGTCATTTCTGCAATCCTATTCAGTGTGAGAGGGGACTACACAGGGGCATGAATACCAGGAAGGTGAAGATCACTGGGGACCATCTTGGAGGTTGGCTACCAAACATGGCAATATGGTGCAGGCAGAACAAAATAGACAGGGGGTATGACCTTTACTTTCTAGGAACTTGTACTCTAAAATCACACTGAAACACATTGAAGCAGATATGGATGAACATGACTTAATACCCAATTTATTCTATTTAAGTATCTGTTATGTACCAAGTAATAGAGCAAAGGATGGTGTCAGGGTTTTGAGCCTACGTGACAAAGAGAATGATGTTATTGCAGGAAAAAAATAGGAAAGTCAGTATTTGAAGCTGGGTTGATCCAAGTGCAGTGATGTTTACAACTAATTGATCACAACCAGTTACAGATTTCTTTGTTCCTTCTCTACTCCCACTGCTTCACTTAACTAGGAAAAAAAAAAGTTGAAGCTGACTTGGAGAGAAAGGGACTAATACATTTTTGATAGAGGGAGAGATTATAGGAATAACATACGAAAAAACATGGGATCAGCAGTGAGAAGTTTCAACAAGCAGCTGCAGAGGAGTTAGTTTATGGCTGGGAGTAGGAGCGGATGGAGGAGTGAACAGGATGGCAGGATAGGTGGAGGTACCTTAGAGATATGTAATGGAATTTTTAAGATGAGAGTAAACAGCTTGGGCTAGCTATAGGAATTAATGAGGATCCATTGAAAATATTTGGCTGAAAAGGTAATAAGGATAAAAGAAAAAAATAACTAGCATTATTGGAGCAATTCTTGATCATGGGGGTTCATTGAGAGTTCAGGGCTATGACTATGAGTATCGAAAGGGACAAAAATGTCTCAGTTTTGAGTGAATTTTTTTTTGGCAGCTGGCCAGAATGGGGACCTGAACCCATGACCTTGTTGTTATAAGGATGCTCTCTAACCAACTCAGCTAACTGACCAGCCTAAAGTGTGTTTTGTTTTGCTTTGTTTTGTTTTTTTGAGAGCTGTCTCATTTCACAATTGAATGTTCCAACTAAAAATGATGAGAGTCCTAACTTGGAAGTAGATATATTATGAAAATTGAAAAGGTAAGGAGAAAATTGTAGAGAAGTGACAAAGTTTCCTTTAAGGCATGAAATGGCAGTGAAAGCTGAAATTATTTCTCAGAATGAATTGAGAATTGAACTCTAGGAAAGGGGCATGGAATAGTAATTGAATTGATCGGTTTTAGTGATTTTTTTTTTTTTTAAAGATGACCGGTAAGGGGATCTCAACCTTTGGCCCGGTGTTGTTAGCACCACGCTCAGCCAGTGAGCAAACCAGCCATCCCTATATAGGATCCGAACCCGTGGCCTTGGTGTTATCAGCACCGCACTCTACCATGTGAGCCACGGGCCGGCCCAGGTTTTAGTGATTTTGATGATGCATGCCTGTAGGCATTCCGAGGTCTCACTAGAAGATGGAAATTACATGATCATTTTATTAGTAGTTACAGGCACCATGTTTCTTGGTTTATGTTGGGCTTTCACTCTTGACATTTATTCACAGGATGAGATTTAAATTAAAGAAAAGTATACTTAACTAAAATTCCTTTTTCATGTTTGTTTCTTGGTTTGTCCTCCCCCCTTCCCCAAATTAGGTGGGGTGGAATGGCTGCAAATCAAGGATAATAATTTCTCCTATAGACCCAACATGATTTGTAGCTTTCTGCATGAAAATGAAGATGAAGAAGTTGTATCTCCAGCCCCAGATAAACCCTTGGAGTTGGAAGAGCAAGAGATTCAAATGAAAGACAGCTCAAACCTGAGTTATGAACAGGAGAAACCACGGCACTTGGAAATAGAGGATTCTGGTCCTCTTAATGATATCCCTTTTTCTGAGACAGAAGGTTCTATTTTTGTGGAAACTCAAGATGCTGCCTTAGAAATGACTCCTAGATGATATGTTTCTCATAATAATTAGTTTTGAACTTTAATTAGAGTTTTTATGTAAAATGATCAGCTGTGTAACTCTTAGTTTTTTATTATTTTTATTTTTACTTTTTAAACATTTTATGTCCTTCAATCAAACTATTTTATTGTTTTTGTTGGATGTACACATATTTCCAATTGTAGCACAACTTAATATACCAGAATCATTCAGGACCAGACATGAACTAAATTTTTTAAAATATGGTTTAAATGACTTTAGGGAGACTTCTCTCATGAATCCTTCAAATTGGAGTGTATACTAAGGTAAGTGCATAAATTTTCTGTTGCAGCAGTCACAAATTACCACAAATCCAGTGGTTTAAAACAATACAAACATATTGTTTTATAGTTCTAAAGGTCAGAAGTCTGACATGGGACTCACCTGGACTAAAGCAAGGTGTTGGCAGGAGTGCATTCTTTTCTGGTGGCTCTAGGGGGCAAATCCATTTCCTTGCTCATTCAATTGTTGGCAGAATTCATTTCTTCACAGTTGAAGGACTGATGTCCCATTTCCTTGTTTGTCTGCTGATGGCCATTTCTAGCTTATAGAGGCTATCTTCATTCCTTGGCTCATGGTCCCCTTCTCTCCAAAGCCAGGAATGGTGGGTCAAGTCCCTGTCCCATTTTGAATCTCTCCTGTTACTTCCTCCTTCATTCTCTCTCTCTCANTGGAGCCTATTTGGCCTGTGGCTTTAATCTCACTCGTAGCTTTGTATTTCTGTTCCCTGGTGATATTTTTGAGTCCACTCATGCCTTCAAATGCTGTGCTTGGAACATGAGAGATGTTATACTGTGAACTTACTACACTATGTTTTTGGGGTTTTTGTTTCTTTCTTTTTTTTTTTTTTTTGGCAGCTGGTTTGTACCAGAATCCAAACCCTCAACTTTGGTGTGGTTATCAGCACCATGCACTCTCAAATGAGCTAACCAGGCAGCCTTTTTTTTTTCTTTCTTCTTTTTAATACTATCTTGATAGGAAGTTTAATCTAACTCCCTACTACAATTATTGAGACTTAACATCATTATTTTATTTGATGGCATCAAGCAGCATAATAATCAAGTTCATTTTATGTTCTAGTGGACACAGAAGGCAATAATAAAACAGTGCTAAAATATAAATGCCATACAATGAAGAAGCTCAGCATGACAAGAACTCTTCTGACAGAAAAGAAGGAAGGAGAAGAAAACATAGGTTAGTTCACTTGATTCTCTGAGAATAAAGGGTCCACTATTGGCTTTGATAGTGACACATTGCTACCAGGACATTCCTTGTACTTTGTAGTAATAATTATATTTATTTAAATTGAGGGTGCCCCCTGAAAAGTACTGTAGGAAAGTTTTAAATTTTCTCTTTTCCCTCTGAAGAGTTGATGATTTTAGTCTGTGAAATGAACTGACAGTAGACAAATTAACAGGAGAACAACCAAACAAAATTTATTTTGCACATAGGCATGGGAGCCACATATAAAGTGTGAGACAAAAAGAAGGGCCCGATGACTGAAGTTTTTATACTGCACAGAAGGGTATTTCTGGGGGTTCCTGGAGGTAGGTGGCAACAGGTTATGAGAGAGTGAGGGAAGGAAATACATGGCCAGAAAAGGCTGTCTTGCTATGCAGATATAATCTCTCAGGTAGCAGCTCTCAGAAAGAATAGATGGTAGCATGTAGTAAAGGTTTCTCTGTCAGACCTTTAAAACTGTCAAACCTTTAGTTTCCTTTTCCTGTAAGATAATTTATCCTAGATCAGGTAATGCAGATAAAGGGGTCTCAGAGAAAGCCTGTTGGCATCCACTGTTTACTCATAATATAGATTTCCTCTACAGATGCAAATCTCCCCTCCAAAAAAGATAGCTTTTCAGAGCTGTTCCTGTGTCTGCAGGCCTTTTGAGTAGTTATCTCAAAATATGCCATAGGTGTATATTTTGGGGCGGCATATTTTGGTTTTCTTCAGTATCAAGCATAGATTTAAAATTCATTTGGACTCTTAATGTAGCCAAGGTTACTGGGGACCTATAAGAAACCAATATCTGCTTTGTGTTGGAAACAACTGTGAGGAGTGTGCCAAGAAACTTGATATGATTTCCAAGCCCTAAGGAATTCAACTGTGTGTGTGTGTGTGTGTGTGTGTGTGTCTTAATAAATTCTTCCTTATAAGTAGAGCGGATAACAGTTTTTAATTCCCAAGGTGTAATCCCAGGGGATCCCTTGGAAACTTCTGGCAGCTGCAGCAACCTTCCCCAAGAAGCTCACAGATGGAAGAAGCTGGCTTTATATGTGGGGGAGACTCTAGGACTGCAGTTGTTAGTCTAGTTCTTAATTAGCATCCATTTAGTCTTCTCCAATTGCTGGTCATCACAGACTAGAGACTTTTAGACCAGTGCTGCTTGCACCCATAGCAGGCACATGTTTGTGAAGCTGAAAAAATAATGACTTGATGGTTTAAAAGTGCATTGTTCAACAACATATTTGAAGCTCTAGTAAATAAGACTCTAGTGATGAGTGTTGATGACTTAAAAGATTTATTATATTTTAAGCAAGGAATAAACATTTGAAGGTATATTGATCATATAGAAATTAATTACACCAACTATGCACAACTACATAACAAACCTTTTTTCTTATCATATATATCTCGAAACTGTGCCTTTTTAGGCACCCTGTAAAAATAATAGGAAGAAGGAGGTTCTAGAATGAACTAGATTCTAGAATGAACTTGAAAGGCAGATACATATTGTAAGCGTAGTTATCATTTAGATACTCCTATTAAAGTAAGTTATGGAATTTCCTCTCCTCCTAGTCTTTAATAATCTAATAGATCTTTGGGAAGATTTGGATGTCTAGTCAAATAAATTAGCAACCAACTATTCAAGTCTGTATTAGTTATCTATTGCTGCATAACAAGTTACCCCTAAGCTTAACAGCTTAAGACTACAAGAAAAATAACAGTATCTGACATAGTTTCTTTGAAGTGGGATTTTGGGAACAGTTTAGCTAGGTGGTTCTGGCTCAGTGTCTCATGATGCAGTCATCTGAAGGCTGGAAGATTTGGCTGTAAGATGGCTTATCACATGGCTCGTAAGTTTGTGCTAGCTGTTGGTAGGAGGCCTCAGTTCCTTGCTGTGTGACTACCCCACAGGACTGTTTGAATATTCTGACATGGCAGCTGACTTCTCTCAGATTAAGTAATCCATGAGAACAAGGCAGAAGCCACAATGTCTTTTATGAAATAGCCTTAGAAGTCACACTGTCATTTCTGCAATCCTATTCAGTGTGAGAGGGGACTACACAGGGGCATGAATACCAGGAAGGTGAAGATCACTGGGGACCATCTTGGAGGTTGGCTACCAAACATGGCAATATGGTGCAGGCAGAACAAAATAGACAGGGGGTATGACCTTTACTTTCTAGGAACTTGTACTCTAAAATCACACTGAAACACATTGAAGCAGATATGGATGAACATGACTTAATACCCAATTTATTCTATTTAAGTATCTGTTATGTACCAAGTAATAGAGCAAAGGATGGTGTCAGGGTTTTGAGCCTACGTGACAAAGAGAATGATGTTATTGCAGGAAAAAAATAGGAAAGTCAGTATTTGAAGCTGGGTTGATCCAAGTGCAGTGATGTTTACAACTAATTGATCACAACCAGTTACAGATTTCTTTGTTCCTTCTCTACTCCCACTGCTTCACTTAACTAGGAAAAAAAAAAGTTGAAGCTGACTTGGAGAGAAAGGGACTAATACATTTTTGATAGAGGGAGAGATTATAGGAATAACATACGAAAAAACATGGGATCAGCAGTGAGAAGTTTCAACAAGCAGCTGCAGAGGAGTTAGTTTATGGCTGGGAGTAGGAGCGGATGGAGGAGTGAACAGGATGGCAGGATAGGTGGAGGTACCTTAGAGATATGTAATGGAATTTTTAAGATGAGAGTAAACAGCTTGGGCTAGCTATAGGAATTAATGAGGATCCATTGAAAATATTTGGCTGAAAAGGTAATAAGGATAAAAGAAAAAAATAACTAGCATTATTGGAGCAATTCTTGATCATGGGGGTTCATTGAGAGTTCAGGGCTATGACTATGAGTATCGAAAGGGACAAAAATGTCTCAGTTTTGAGTGAATTTTTTTTTGGCAGCTGGCCAGAATGGGGACCTGAACCCATGACCTTGTTGTTATAAGGATGCTCTCTAACCAACTCAGCTAACTGACCAGCCTAAAGTGTGTTTTGTTTTGCTTTGTTTTGTTTTTTTGAGAGCTGTCTCATTTCACAATTGAATGTTCCAACTAAAAATGATGAGAGTCCTAACTTGGAAGTAGATATATTATGAAAATTGAAAAGGTAAGGAGAAAATTGTAGAGAAGTGACAAAGTTTCCTTTAAGGCATGAAATGGCAGTGAAAGCTGAAATTATTTCTCAGAATGAATTGAGAATTGAACTCTAGGAAAGGGGCATGGAATAGTAATTGAATTGATCGGTTTTAGTGATTTTTTTTTTTTTTAAAGATGACCGGTAAGGGGATCTCAACCTTTGGCCCGGTGTTGTTAGCACCACGCTCAGCCAGTGAGCAAACCAGCCATCCCTATATAGGATCCGAACCCGTGGCCTTGGTGTTATCAGCACCGCACTCTACCATGTGAGCCACGGGCCGGCCCAGGTTTTAGTGATTTTGATGATGCATGCCTGTAGGCATTCCGAGGTCTCACTAGAAGATGGAAATTACATGATCATTTTATTAGTAGTTACAGGCACCATGTTTCTTGGTTTATGTTGGGCTTTCACTCTTGACATTTATTCACAGGATGAGATTTAAATTAAAGAAAAGTATACTTAACTAAAATTCCTTTTTCATGTTTGTTTCTTGGTTTGTCCTCCCCCCTTCCCCAAATTAGGTGGGGTGGAATGGCTGCAAATCAAGGATAATAATTTCTCCTATAGACCCAACATGATTTGTAGCTTTCTGCATGAAAATGAAGATGAAGAAGTTGTATCTCCAGCCCCAGATAAACCCTTGGAGTTGGAAGAGCAAGAGATTCAAATGAAAGACAGCTCAAACCTGAGTTATGAACAGGAGAAACCACGGCACTTGGAAATAGAGGATTCTGGTCCTCTTAATGATATCCCTTTTTCTGAGACAGAAGGTTCTATTTTTGTGGAAACTCAAGATGCTGCCTTAGAAATGACTCCTAGATGATATGTTTCTCATAATAATTAGTTTTGAACTTTAATTAGAGTTTTTATGTAAAATGATCAGCTGTGTAACTCTTAGTTTTTTATTATTTTTATTTTTACTTTTTAAACATTTTATGTCCTTCAATCAAACTATTTTATTGTTTTTGTTGGATGTACACATATTTCCAATTGTAGCACAACTTAATATACCAGAATCATTCAGGACCAGACATGAACTAAATTTTTTAAAATATGGTTTAAATGACTTTAGGGAGACTTCTCTCATGAATCCTTCAAATTGGAGTGTATACTAAGGTAAGTGCATAAATTTTCTGTTGCAGCAGTCACAAATTACCACAAATCCAGTGGTTTAAAACAATACAAACATATTGTTTTATAGTTCTAAAGGTCAGAAGTCTGACATGGGACTCACCTGGACTAAAGCAAGGTGTTGGCAGGAGTGCATTCTTTTCTGGTGGCTCTAGGGGGCAAATCCATTTCCTTGCTCATTCAATTGTTGGCAGAATTCATTTCTTCACAGTTGAAGGACTGATGTCCCATTTCCTTGTTTGTCTGCTGATGGCCATTTCTAGCTTATAGAGGCTATCTTCATTCCTTGGCTCATGGTCCCCTTCTCTCCAAAGCCAGGAATGGTGGGTCAAGTCCCTGTCCCATTTTGAATCTCTCCTGTTACTTCCTCCTTCATTCTCTCTCTCTCAGTGACCCTTCTGTCTTCCACTTCTGCTTTTAAAGATCAATTTGTACATTGGGCCCACTCAGATAATCTCCCTATTTTAAGGTCTATAACTTTAGTTCCATGTGCAGAGTCCTTTTTGCCATGTAACTCAACATACACAGGCATAAAACCAGGGAATAGGACATGGAAATATTTGAGGGACCATTTTTTAGTCTATCACAGGAAGTTTATTTTGTTTAGGAAGAGAAAAGAATTTTGAAGTGCTTAAGGTACAATTCCTAATATTACAGCTGTAATTTCACTCCTTTCCTACTTGAGAAAGATGATAATTCAACTGTGATAGTCATTTTGTTATAGTGATAACCTAGATCTAATTTGTATTTTTTAAGTAAATTATTCACAATCTTTGGTACTTTGTTGCAGGTTATGAAATTGCCAATGTTTGATTGTTTCTGGCTAAAAGCAATTTCATACAGTTTAACGTAGTACCAGTAAGTTAAAACATACCTCACATTAATTACATCTCACAGTTGATAGAGATAACTTTTGTTTTAAAAGGTTAGAGAACTAATATTCTAGGATGAGGGATTTATTTCTTCAAAAAGTTTGTAACTTTTTACTATTTTATGGACAACAGGGCTGACTGGTTATCTCAGTTGGTTAGAGCACAGTGTTGTAACGCTACCGTCAATGGTTTAGATTCCCATACTGGCCAGCCACTAAAAAAGATAATAATCGGACACAACTTACCTTGATAAAAAGCATTTCCAAAACATAAGCTCATATATCTCCCCAATTTTTATATGACTTTTTTAGTCTCAGCTTTTAATAAAAAGTTTATCTTTTCCACCATACATATGTACAGGGGAGATGGCTAATTGTCTGGCCCAATATCTATTCTTCCTTTTTTTCTTCATAACAGAATCCCAGAATTTATTCAGGTTATCAGTGTGCCCAGCTGTCCCTGCAGACACATGTGGCCATATCAGCACCACTCTCTAACCAACTGAGCTAACCGGTCAGCCCACATGTGGCCATATGACTAAATTCTGGTCATTGACATGGCATTAGAAGTGTTGAATGATGCTTCTGGAAAGTGTTCTTAAGCTGTAAGGCATAAAAGGTAATAGGTAAGCTCATCTTCTCTCTCATCCTGCTGGAACATGATGTGGTGACTACAGCTCCAGAAGAGGTGCTGGACTTTAACTTTGGAAATAGAAGCCCTGAGTTGCAGAGCAACAAGATTGGGTGCTGATACTATGACGCTGCCCTGGACTGTTATGAGTAAATGGTTAACAAAACCTTTTCTCTTTCTACCTGGTAAAATGACCTTGAGTTTACCTTTCAGCACTTTCTCTGGAAACCTACTTGGCAAGATAATAATGGAATGTCAGGTGTGATACTAGGCAATACTATTTATGATTAAAAGTGATCCCTAATTGGTAAACTGTATGTGGACCAAGAAGGCTATGACAAAGTATATAAATGCCCATTGGAAAACATGGGCTTTGGGAAAATTTTGAGTTCCTTCTTGCAGAGGTCCCTGGAAGCTGTACTTCTGGGCTGTTTTAAGAGATATTGGCTCTTATGGAGCGTGAAGCTTCTTTTTTTTTTTTTTTTTTTTTTTTTC